ATGAATTGGTCAGGAGGTTAGGTTGGGCGGGCCTCAGAGCCGGTCTGATATGGTGGCCGTCAGATAATCAAAACCAGTCTTCAGAATAACAGAGTCAGACAGGCCTGATGGCTTAAGCCGTGATGTTGAAATATGATTCGTCTGCTGATATTTTGAGTTTCCCGTTGATTGCCACGGGCCGTATTCTCGTGTCTGCGTAACGACCTTTCTCTCTTGCGTTCGTGTGAACTTCCGTGTCGTCCGTGAACAGCAGAGCTGACCTGGCCAGTAAAAGCAACTTGTCCTTAGATTTTTATTCTCGTGTGGTTGGTCTTTGTATGTATTCCTACCTGAGCTCTCTTAAAAATTAGAATAAAAGTTTGCCCAGATAAAATCTGCGACGAATTGAATTTTGTGAAGGTTCTCACATGAGAAACCGAAGCAGAAATATTCCCGTATATATTTTCTGTGTCAGCTTCTAGTTTGTTGGGCATGAAGACATTTAAAAACAAGTCTGCCTCTGAACCTGGTACAAAGTTAAGCTGAGACTTAGGAGATTCCAGATCGTGTCGTCAGCCGGCATGCTCTAATCCCGACGGACACTTGCTACGTATGGCTGTCTGCGAGGCTAGTGCTATCGTGTTCATTGCTCGCCCTAATATGGCGCACAAGCGGCTAGACCAGTGAAATTAATGCAAAACATTTCGGGGAATTATGAGCCGGGATAGCTCAGTCAGTATAGTGACTAGCTACGGGCTGGACGGCCGGGGTTCGATCCCCGACGGGGGCACGGGATTTTTCCTCTAGCCCCTGCGTCCAGACCGGCTCTGGGGCCCACCCAGGCTCCTCTACAATGGGTATCGGGGTCCTTTGGGGTAAAGCCGGCCGGGGCGTGATGCTGACCACTCACCCCCACCTAGTGCCGGGGTCAAGGAAGAGAGGAGCTATACCTCCACTCACCCCAAACGCCTACATGGCGTATAGTGGGACAAACTTTACTTTATTTCGGGGAATTCTGACTGGTTCTCACTTTGCAGGCGGCTTCTCGCTCGGAAAGCAGAAGACCACAGTCACAATCTCGATGAACACGATCTTCGGCCCGTTCGGAGGCACGGTAGCTGCTGAGGATGGCCAGTATTCGATCCAGGTACCGCTCGCTCCCTTCCCGCTGTTTTCCTTTAAACGCTCCTGTACCTTTACAGCTCTCGTGAACGCACCCGTTTGAGCACTGGAGTCTGTTACAAGCTGCTGCGAAAACGAACGCAGCGAAGCGTACAAAAGGCCCGTACACCCGATTCTAGGCAGGACGAACGTGTGCTGAGACCACGCATCTGTTTGCTGTTTCCAGAAACCTCGCGCTCCTCCTGTCTTGTCCCAACTCCCCCAGTGAACAGATGCGCTTTTGAGCCAGCGCCCACCCGAGTCTGTTCTTCAAGGGAGCACTTGTACCGACTAACAATCTTCTGTTAATGTCATTCGCTTTTTCCCCCCCATTTCAAATTTGTGTCGGCTCACATTTCCTTTCTTTGTGTAATTTTAGGACACTCCAGTTCTGTTGAGAAGTCTCACATGCATTTGCTGTCAAATTCCTTTGGTTGTTGAAATTTGTCAAAATCAAGTTTGGGGCCGTGTTTTACGAAACGAGGCTCACCCATATTTGTCCATCGGTTGGTTGTTTAGCACAGTGGTATTCAACCTGGGGTACGCGAAGACATCTTAGGGGGAACGTTAAATTTAAAAAAATATATTATTTTATGATAAACACTGAATAATCAGTAATGTAATTTATTAAATTTATTTTAAATGTAGATTATATGCTACGTATAACTTGAATTATACACCAACGACTTTGGGGGTACAAAGTTGAAGAGACATTATATCTGGGGGTACGCGAAGACATCTTAGGGGGAACGTTAAATTTAAAAAAATATATTATTTTATGATAAACACTGAATAATCAGTAATGTAATTTATTAAATTTATTTTAAATGTAGATTATATGCTACGTATAACTTGAATTATACACCAACAACTTTGGGGGTACATCTCTGGATTCGCTTGGAGAGGTGGAGGAAAATCAGTGGCACGCGTACCGACAGCTGCCGCGGCCCGTCGATGAATCACGAGTGTCCCGAAATTCTTTTACTTTTCTCTTTCATGGAATCCGCGGGGTTTAGCGACGTTCCGTTCGAGGGCAAAGTTGGCCCAAGTTTGTTCCGCGTTTTACAAGATTCGTCAAAACAAAAGCGATCACTTAGGTCATTACGTGATGAGAGGATCTTCGTGGGTTTACGAGGTCACTTCCTGTCGAACGTTAAAGAGACGCAATTTTAAAGGCGAATCAAACAAATTTATGTCAATGTTCGTCAGTCAAGAGAAGTACAGTTTTTCACACGATTATTTCGGTGTGTAAGTGCTGTCGCCCTCGGCAAGCTTAGATTTGTGTGTTCGTATCTTACCACTACATTCCCACAGGCGACCGCCTCTCTTTCTGTCCTGACCCTAATCCAATACACGAGTAAATAAACCATTCACTTCTTAACGGTCGTTTCAGTAGTCGGAACGAATACGTGCGATCCACGTCCTTTAAAGGGGCTGGCAGCAGGAACTCGTTTCTTTGTCAGCCAACTTCAGTTCGAGGTTCGGTTGCTTTAGCATCGCGGGAATGTCGAGAGAATTCTTGGGGGCTTTAAATCTTAGGTCAATAAATGCTAACATGCTGAAATTCAGACAAGTCCAGTTTTGTTACAGTTTCTCCTCCCTCAGTGCAAACATTCAGTGTTTTCTTGCTGGCACAGACTGTACACGTACTGTTCCTGCAGCATTTATTTGATTAATACTGTACATATGAAAAGACAGGCACTGCCATGTTTGCTCTTTCCTTCATACACAGTTACAAAATATAATATTTATCTCACATTTCCATCCATCAGTTGTGCTGTAGTTTATTAAAACTGCCAGGGACTTCACATTTCAGTTTATTTTTATAATTCTGATTCAGATACATTTTCTGCTAGGTAATATTATTGTACATCAGTTTGCAAATGACATGAAGCTGTGTTCCCCGTTTCCAGGACACACGCGTATTGTCAGACGAGTTCACGATGTTTCCCCCCCCCCCTTCTCATTCAAGCATTGTACATAAAATTCAGTCTCTGGGTCAATCAAACGATTCTGTAGCCGAGCACACGCGCTCAGCTTTGTGTGGAATGTCAATAGAACAGATGATCCATCCCTGTTACGAAGCTAACGCTACTAGACTTAAGATTGATTGGTTGTGTACAAGGCCAAGTTTCAGGATTCCTCCCCACTCTGAAATTATAAAGCACTACATCATGTAAATTAATGTATCACTTGAAGAAAGGCCAATCCATTACCTGGACCTCTCGCATTTTAGAAAAAAGCACTCCGCACTCTTATTACAGTTATGTACATAATAATATATATATACATACACAGTTCGGCCAAATTCCTGTTCCCACAAGTAGGAACAGGATGGACAAGATAAGGAACAGGAATGTTTGAAAGGGCTTAAAACACAATATATTAAGCTATTTGTCTTATAGTATGTACAACAATCACACGTACGCATTCATGCAGGTATAACAGAGCTGACACCTCTCACTCCCCCATTCACGCAGATTAACACAAACGATCTCGGTCCTGGACAGGATCAACTGATCTATGTTATCCTCCGGGCGATCTCCGCATACGTGAACAGAATTAAGACGCCGGTGGCGAGATAAGTCACGGAGGACAGAGCTCCAGAGCCTGCAGTGGTAAATCCCCTCTCCTGCTTGTTCTTGAGTGAGTGTGCGCCACCGTCATCGGACATCATGCTGTGGTTGTCCCCCGGTTTTACGGCGTGGACGCTGTTTTCGTCGAAGAGATTCTTCTGTTTCTTCTGCTGTTGCGCCGGAAGGGTTCCGGGCGCTTCCGTTGTCGTCGTCGTGGTCGTGGTCGTCGTCGTGGTCGTGGTGGTCGAGATAAAAGTAGTCGGGACGAGCGTGTTGTTCGTGATGAAGTACACGGGTCCAAACTCGGGCCTCACATCCAGCATCGCTTCCTCCTGGCGGTTGCCGTGGATGGTACGGACCTCCGCATGCTTGTCTTTATACACTGAGACGAGTTTCCCTGTGTAGGGCATTTCGGAAACGGTGTCGTTCCCGCGTAGTGTCACGTTGACGGCGGTACCCGGTTCCAGCTTATACTCCACCCTGTGGGAACAAAAGGAGAATCCAGTCAGTGCAATGACTGGGGGTCAAATGGTTTCCTCAGCGAGCAGTTTTCCTTCCCCATCATTTTGTCGCTAAGAATTGCGTGCAACTATAGGCCTACATACATTCAAATAATAGAGATCGGTCCTCGTTGTTACCTGTAGACCTCTTGGCGTTCCTGAGTCTGTGGTATTCCCCACTCAACTTCATCGATGAGTGTGCCATTGGCGAACTTTACTGTTGTAGGAAGGCCCTTCAGGATGGCCTTGCCCTGACCCCAGTACACAGAATATTTGCTGTCGTACGCCAGGACCGAGTCCACGTTGACGGGGAACGTGGATCCCGCGTTGCTCAACACGCTTGTGGCCAGCACTCGTGGTTTCCGGGACTGCCTCTTCCTCCAGAGGTCGAACTTGAGGCCCGTCAGCTCGTATCTCACGGGCTCGGTCTCCACCAGAACTTCTCCGTCAGAGAACTCCTGCACGTTGCCACTCTGTACAATCAGACAACGACCCACATGCGTTTCAGAAGACTGCTCATGCGTTGCCACGAGACGGGATGCAGACAAGTTAATCTTGAATAAGTACGTTATCCGTCCTCAGAGACGTGGAACAGAGAATTTCCGCTGTGTTCGGCCGAAATACCAAGTGCTGTTCACTTGTTTTACGATGCGGTTTATTTGTTCTTTTGCCAGAAGTATTGTATTTCTCGACTATTAGTTAAACGTACGTGGCAGTTATATCAGCGGTAAAAGGCGTAAACAGCACTCCAAAGTGTGCGCGGACCGGATTAATCTGGCTCAGAATACTGTCCCAAGGCGGGCTCTTGTAAACAGGGCAGTGGGATTCAAAAATGCGGGCAATGTCTGAGACTATTTCAGCTTTTGGGGTACGTTTGTGCTCCGTGGAGTTGGTCACATATTTGTGTAATCGTGGATTACTACCGAATTGTCGATCTTAATGTGAAGAGAGTGAGGACTTGAAAAATACCTGGCACTAGTTGTTTTAATTAATATTAAAGTGACTCTTAACAGCGCATACAAAAGGTTTATAATGTGTTAGGATTCTAGACATCTGATGGTTAGTCACCTCACCAACAAACAAATGCAAGTGTCTTAAAATCTATCAGGGACAAAATTGCTACCAGACAGGGACAGTCGGATGTGCAAACGTCGTGGAGGCACTTCGATAAATTAATTTAATGTTCCATTGTTCCTTAAAGGGTTATCAGAAGCCTGCCGGTAAGTAGGTTGAAAAATGCTCAGCTTGCCAAGTTCCGTGTGCACGCAACTTAACACGTTAATCTTTTTTTTATGGTGCCAATCGGTGATTTACCTTGTTTACAATGCTGATCTTGCCAAGGCCGACTTTTGGGTCGAGTTGCCCGATGTGGTGGGAGAACCGATCGCCCGTAAGACTTTCATCTTTGCGTCTAGCGATGAACGTCTCGACGCCTTCTCCGCAGGCCACGGCCCCCGTCGGGACGAGGTTAAACTTATTCCACGGGACCCATGCCAGTCTGGATCCACCGTCCACGTTCTCGAGTACCTGGTAGCGTTCGTAGCTCTTCCTGGCGCCCAGGAAGGCCACGATACACGACTTCTGTTCCGGGCGAAGCTCACCAGATACCCACATCCCGTCGGAACTCGCCCGACACACGACCACCTCTCGCGTCGTGTCTGTGGCTGCTTCGTCCTCTAAGCCGGCGACTGCTGAAAGAAAGAGCACTGTCACAAACCAGGAACACGACACAGACATGCCTGAACGGATGGCGTCTGTCGTCAATGCAATTTCGACTCACTTGGAACATTAGACATCCCCGTGACTAAAAGACAAAATGTTTGTCGAGGCTGCTATTAAACCGCATCACATGGGTTTCTGGAGCATTTTCTTACCGAGTACGAAATTGGCGGAGAACAAAAGTTTCGCCAGGTGATATTACGTATTCCTGTTGTGGTACGGTTACATTTATCACTACTTCTATTGACAAATGAAGCAATGTACACTTTCACGTTCAGCAAATCTTCACGCTCCATTTTTTTATAGCACAGCCATCGGCTGGAACGCTGTGCTGGTAGAATTGCACCCAGTTTTTGTTACAGAATAACGTGCATCGTTTGAACTGATAAGAATTGTGTGCATAGATAAGCGCAAGGCAAAACTAAACCAACAACGGGAGCACCTTGCAACACCTCGTGAGCGCCAACCACGGAGTTTGGCGGCAAAGTCCCGCTCTCTCCTGCCACCCACTGCAGGGTGCTGGAGGTGACCAGTTGCTTGTACTCGGATCGAATGTGAACGCCGTTGTCTGCCAGGGTCACTGCCAGCAGGAGTAGGAACACCGCCGGTCGTCTGTGCCACACCATGGTGCGATCTGCAAAACAGTTGAATTTGCTATGAAATGTGGAGTCGTTGATGATGTCGGGTTTATGTTACTCGTTACGAAGCCTGAAGCCAATGCAGATGCCTCGTGACAATTGGAATGACAAGCTGCAGGGAAAATGTGAGCCAATGGCTGGCGCCTGACTTTTCCATTGCCCTGTAATCTTACTCTGCGACTTACTTTCCTGAGCGGATAAGCTTCCTAAGCCCGATAGAGCTCCTCCACTAATTGGACAAAACCTCGGGTTCGTCTGCTTCTTTTGTTGGAGCCTTCGTTGTCAGGGATCCGTTGCTATCTTGCCCAGGTTCGAATCCAAGGCGTGGCAGTCGCCACTTACGAACTGAGATTTTTCGGCAAAGGGTATTTAAGGGATGAGTGAAATTAAGGATGAATTGCGGTTAAACGGTCCTGTGAGCATTACCTAATTTATTTTGACGGTACTCCAGTTCAAACTCTTTGCGCTGATCGGCATGCGACTCGTCAGGAACAGCTCACGCGCTGAGGAGGAAATCTTCTGCGGTCGTAGACATTCACCGTCACTGCCGACTTTGTTCGTGTGAAGAGGCAGAAAAATGGAATAGAACAGGGGCCCAACCCGAATGTGATTAAAAGGAAGAGCTGTTGATTCCGTTGTTATAATAAGTGACGCATGATATCCGAACCAGTGTATCGGAATTACTCGCGTTAACCAACGCTAGTGACCTGCATTAAAATTGTTGAATAAAAATTTCCTTGGATATTATCCATCGTCTAATAAATATAAAACCTAAAACGACGTTTCGGAAATGGGACTCTATCTCCGGAGATAGGGATTAGCTCTATCTAGTGGGCCCAACTGTGTAGGAACCTGAAGACGGAGATAGAGTCCCATCTCCGAAACGTCGTTTTACGTTTTATATTTACTAGACGATGGATAATATCCAAGGAAATTTTTATTCAATTGACTCTTCACCATCGTCAAGAAGTTTTAGATTTGATTAAAATTGTTCCCCATGCAAAAGCGAGCACCAGTGGTTGCAGGATTTGGAACCTTTGACAATAGTTTCCACAATTTCGAGGCTTCGTTAAGTAACAGAGCTGGGCCCTCGCTTATGACAGCATTTCACACCTGGTGTTTTTGTAAGTTCGTCTTGCAGGCCACATGCTCCTCAGAACTTCTTGGTCCCAACTGCAGTTGCTGGGCAGATATGTGATGAAAAACAAAACAGAATTCCAGTAGACCTTGTACCGGGCAATTGTAACAAGTTATACTGCGTGGTTGTTATGTCGTGCGACTATTAGTTGTCTGCGCCTGCGCGGCACACGTGTCGTTCATCGTTTATATAAGCGATGACGCGAACAAATCTCGACCGCCCGCATCGAAACACAAGTCCTGTCCCAGTTCTGTATCGCCGACCTTTTCGCCTCTGCTGTTACGAAATGACGGAAGACAGCACTCGCCGCGCAGCTAAACCGAGGCCCTCGAAGTCTTCTTTCTCGCCAAGAGCTCTTCGTGTTTTATGACCTCGTGCCAATCTCCACGTTTTCGCTCTCGATTCTCGTCAGTTCTTGCAGCCACCGCCAAGACGAAGGGTCGTGCCGTTTCTGAACAGAATAACCCCATCCTGAAGATGTACGCTTCGCTTGTTTGTCAAGACACTTCAATTGACGTGGATCAGATTCAAAGGAGAACACCTGGGTTTTTGATACGCAGAGAAACACTCTCAAACCTTTTCGAAATTTTGACATTCTAGTTTCAAAACCCATACTAAGATTATTAATAAGCGTGTTGATTTCAAAATTGAAATGCTTCACGCAAAGTTTTTGCTAATATTAATCTGCGGTGAATTATTCATACCCGAGTTGCATATCACGTACGCGTGTTTGTTAATTGCGAGAATGTGATGACGCAGCGAAGTTGTTTGGAAAATAATTCCTCGAGTGTTCAAGTATTTAAAAATAAATGGGAAGAGTTCCACCGGCCCCGTCACTTCAGGCGTCCGGTTTTACATTCCAAGAACTCGACAGCCGTCATTGTCATGCCCTGCCCATGTTTACTTTGAAGTGGACCGCATTTCCTTCCCGCCTCGTCTACAGAAACTTGTTCCAACATCGGTCATGTTGGCTTACGCGAAGCCGCGCTAGAAATTTCTTTCAGTGATTCCGATTTGGAGCCATTTATCCGGTTCCTTTCACGAAGCCAGTGACTAACCGCCTGAGCTACGGCCCCGAGAATATTTCAGCCTCGTGGACGTGTAACTTCCTTACCAAGATGCACTTTGCGCTTGCAAAGTGCTCCTGATAACAAGCCAAATGCCGTTCGAAGCATTTTACAGGAAACCATATTCGTTTCACCTGTGCAAGGATCTCGTTGTCCTCGTGGAAGCAGATACAGTGGGATCCGCGGTGCAGTCTGTCCCTCTCCTGTATCCATGGCAACCCCCCATGCGCGGCTCAGAGGCAGAAAACACGTGTCTGCTCTGCCTTAAAAGTCTTCGGGATACTCAGGGGATACACCCCGTTCGTCGCAATTATTCAGAAAGGGGGCAACGCGACCTCTTGTAATGTAGTCGGGGCGAATCTGTGCGCTCGAGAGGCGTTATCATGGGCCCCGCAAGGTGGTAATTAGGGTCAATGCTTTCCGTTTCGGTTGTTTGGACGGCGCCCGGGGGAGGCTGTACCTGCAGCCCAGCCGTTTACTTTCACTGCCCAACATCACGAGCGTTGGATGACGGGCAGATATCAAAAGCCAGTATTTCTGCAGCTTACATGCTTAGTCACGTGACAGTGAATAAATACCTGAAGGCTGTTGTTAGCAAGATTCCAGTCAGAACCAGCCACGTTTCTCTGCAACGCCGTTCTCCACATTCATTCTACACTCCCCCTCCCCCCCAGGTGCGTCGGATTGGAGTTCTGGTCCAGCGGCAGGGCCGACTAAACCTTCTGCTTCGAGCCCCACCTCGCAATTAACTTCGGAAAATGAATACTGCAAAATCACATTGTCAGTTTATATGATGACACTAAACGTACGTTGTCACTCTGCACCAGGGGTCTCAACGTACGGTCCGCGGGTCCGATGTGGCCGAGGGCACCTCTTCGTGCCTTCTCACGCGAGAGAAAGGGCGAAGGGTCTGTTACGCCGCTTCCACTCTTGGAAGGAACAGTCGGCAGCCAACGTAGGTACGTTCCTTGGAACACAATTTACCCGATACGATAAGCACCAATTCTCTATTTCTACTCCCATCCGGAAGAATGAGAGAGAGGCAATATGGCGTCTCCGTTCTTCCGATTGATCTACGCCCTTAATTTTACTGTTTGGCTAATGAATTAGTGGTTCAATGAATCTTCCTTTTTCCCCGTAGTTCACTCGATACTCGTCGTACATCGCCAGACTGTGATTTGCTCGACCCCCCCCCCCCAAAAAAAAAGGTGCAGGGCACGTGATGTTACTAAAGAAATATCAGCTTTAAATGAAGAAAGTCCATTGAAAAGTCGTTCCTAAGAGCCTGATGGTTTCATTACCGCGTTCCCCAAAAGGTGCAGCCTCCTCTTTCCTTAATAAATATTCATCTTCAACTGGAAGTTGTCGTACGTCTCGCTGCACACAAAAGAGAGCAGAGCAAATCTGTTCGTGTTGTGAGTGTAACCGCGTTCAAATCAGGCAGTGACAGTTAACCGTCAGTTTTGA